TGTGTGTGTGTGTGTGTGTGTGTGTGTGTGTGTGTGTGTGTACGCGCATAGGCTTTGGTCAGTTGGTAGCGGGGTCGCTGTAAGTCCACTCAAGTCAGGGGTTCGATCCACCATGGCGTGGGGTTCTCGACTAGTGACATATGGTGTGGGTTTCTCATCATAGGGCCCAGCGCGTGAGAAATCAGTATTTCGGCCTCTGCGGATATATATATATATATATATATTGAAAGCCCAAAAATGTTAATAAATTAACTAGAAAGAAAGATGCAAATACAATGTGATGGAGGGCCCAAATATGACACCCTGCTCACAACAAAACCACAAGGGATTCCACAACAAGAAAATACTTAAATGTACATTAGAGACATAAAGAAATATACTAAAAATGCAGAAATACATAGTATCAGGTGGCTAGAGAGTAACCCAATTTGGATTTACCTCTGTCTCTGGTTCTAGGAAAGGAGCAAGCTAATAAGTCAGTAAGATGATTGTCATTGCCAATAGTAACCAATGTATCATCCAATATGTTCCCAAGTTGGAGTCGAGGAGTCGAGCTCCATTCTTCTTCTTCCTCCTGGGATAGACCTGTCATTCCTCTTTCGAAGATTGACTCACTTGATCTTGGTCTAAAGTGTCTTGGAGATGTACAGATTGTTAGACATTAGAAGCAACTACATGTTGTACCGGTTGATCTGTTATATCATCAAATGAGAACTCTCGTGTGTCTTAGCATGTGAGTGAGTCTTCTTCAATAACAATGGGTGATATAAGCACAACTGAATTTGTAGTTATAGTTAGTTGTTCTTCTTCAGGAACTGCGGTGCTGGGAAGAGGATCAGGTTGAATCTTCTTAGCAAGGATAGTAGGTGACTGTTCTTTAGTGATATTCGACCTTATATGAGGATGCAAACGATAGTAAATAGTAGAGTTGTGGCCAAACAATACTACAATGAGACTACAATGAGAGCAATAAGGAGAATGTGGTTCCATTTCAACATTTTGTCAATACCCGTTGTGCATGTGTCAATCCATATCTCATTCGGAGCTGGTTGAG